TATGGAAACTTTGAGATTCTTGAGATGTTTAAATACGAGACAGATAATCTGGTGAATGCAATTTACATCATATCTTCTTGTTCACAAATTTGCTGTTTTCTTTTGTAGGGGATAACAATCATCGTATGTGGAAAAGCTGATTTGAGGTTTTTAGATCTTGCGGGGTACTTCTTAGCATGCAGTACACAAATGATGACAGGTATTTGCCCTGAGATTCTTCTATTCTCACACCTACATGAGAAGCATTAACAGAGAGAAAGGATTATCTAGTCATGGATATATTATCATGAAATTCCACACTGTACATGTTCTGAATTATCCCTTGGATTCCTTTATCAATGTATTTAGAATAGATTTCCATTCTTTCTTGTTTAAAACTTTTAATGGAATGTCAAGTCCACTAATTCATTTTTTATGTCTACCTGAAGTCTCCTCTCTTGGCATAAGGGCTTCTTTTATTTTATTTTTGCAAGTTGTGTGTTTGAATCAGATAAATACTAGGAGAAGACGGCAGGCTGGAACTGGAGGTTTTCAGGCTGAATCTGCAGACATAATCTGCCTTCCTAGTAAAATAATGATTGACCATTTTTGGTAGTCTTCATCCATCAAAGGCAAAAGCCTCTTAGTGTCGCTGAATAAGCTCAATTTTTTAAGGTTTTTAGGGTACATCACTAATGGTGTTTTTGAAGGAAATGGAGGGAAGAAAAATGATTTTCTTCCAATTAAATTAGGATATTGGCTCTATTTTCCGCAAACCAAATGCATACTTCATTGAATATTTTTTTTCTTTCTATATCATTACAGGTGTCGTGTGATTTATGTTTTTATGGGACATGAATATGATGATGATGGATTATACCAACCAATAAGAGTTTAACTGAATTAATGTCTATTAACTAAAAAAATCTTGATTTGAGGTTTAGGTCAAGAATTTAAATTTCTATCATACTAAGTAGTTAACTATTCAATGCATTAAAAAAAAAAGTAATGGATTACACCAAAAGAAATAATCCTTTACTTCTTCAAATAATCAAACCTTTTCTTATCTGTTTTAAAATTTAAAATAAAGATTTTTAATATAAGAATTCAAATTGTTAAGCATTAAACATTTTCAGTTCTAAGTAGCAAGTGATTTATGTATAATTTATTAGTAATAAACAATGAAATGTTGATTAAAAGAAAAAACAATTGAAGTAGTGGAAACATCCTGATCATATGTATAGCCCTTAGCCACCAATATGCACTAAGAAGAAAAATAAAAAGAAAAGGCATAACTAGAAAGATGATAATGATGATTAATTAGGCTGCTTAAGTCATATGCAGCTCAAATTATGCCCTAATTCATACAATCTGTTAAGAATTTTATTCAAAGCCGCAAAATTTCCGAATAGAAAGAAGAAATTCACCTAAATTCTTTCATATTCATCCGTTTAGTTGAAGAATAAGAAATAAGGTTTTCTGAGTCCAATTTGAGACTTTAACTTGACACAATAGAACTCCTGCTGTTTCCAGTCCCTACAAGCAACTACAATCAAACCTCGTTAATCCCCTTTTCACATTTTTAAAAACTTCAAAGTTCAACAAGATTCCAGAAGAGAGAGACATGTGTCATTCAATCCACGGACCAACTGGGTAAAAAGGAAGTAAAAACTTTCATCAGAGAAGTATTTTAGTTGATAAATCTTAAAATTTTAAGTTGAAATTTTCTACATCAAACTTTAAAAGTGGTTGAAAAGGGATTTAAGAAAGAGTATCCGTATCGTATTATAGTTTAAAAGGAAAAAATGAAAAAGAGTTTGGGTGTTCTTGTTTTGTGATTAAATAATTAGCATGAAGGCAAAATAAACCCTTGAACTGCAGGCAATGAAATCAGAAACTGACACATAAACACAACCAAAAAAACTTTCCCAGGAAATAAGACACAAAAAGAAAGGACTTTACGTTACTCCTACCTCTTCATTTCCACAAGATTATCGTGCTTCCTAAGCTCATTATTCCTCTTCCTCCTCTTCCTCTTCATTTATAATCTTCATTCTTCCACATGTTTTCCTCAAAAAACCTGAGTTCAATACCAATCCCTTGGAATTCATCAAGTAGTTCTTTTTTGGAAGCTGGTTTGATCCAGCAAGAACGGATAGAGGGAGTTCCATGGAGGAGGATGGAAGTGTTCGTTTACAGGTTTTGGACCTGAGGAGGATAAGTGAAGCCTGTGCTTCAAACACCATGTTTGAGCCTCAGAGCAGTGTGGAGAAGAGAGAAAGCAATGCAGAGTCTGTTTCTTCAACAACATCCAACCTCCGTGCCCCGGAGAAGAAGCTCACCCTCTTTGCCCTCCGCCTCTCAATCTTTGAGAAGACGGCTACTGGCCTGGGAACCCTGGGATTCATCTGGGCCACGGTGGTTCTTCTTGGTGGCTTTGCAATCACCCTGGACGAAACTGACTTCTGGTCCATCACTGTTATCTTGTTGATTGAAGGGACGAGGATTTTCAGCAGAAGTCATGAACTTGAATGGCAGCATCAGGCAACCTGGTCTATTGCTGATGCTGGAATAAGCAGTTTCCGGGCACTGAGATCCAGCTCTCAAGTCGCTATTTCAATGTTCAAATCCATTTTCACTCCTATTTCTAATATCAAAAAACAGAGCCGTCATGGCAGAGAAATTACAAGGAATAATTGTTCCAAAGCTGAAAGCTTTAATCATCCAAGAACACCAGCAAGAACATGGGTTAGTTCAGATGTTCCTCTTCTTCCATATGGCCAATGGGTATTCTCATCCAGAAATGTCAGCAAGCTTCTGTATTGGCTTCAGCTTCTGTCTGCAACAGCTTGTATTGTCCTGTCATTGATGAAGCTTATAAGGCACAACTATGGCAATATACAGAAGGGGGATACTGACAAGAGAAATCGGCGGTCCGCTCTTAACATTTTCTATGGCCTGGCATTAGCTGAAGCTCTGCTGTTTCTGATGGAAAAAGCTTACTGGGAATGGAAGGTGATATACTGCAAGCTCTTGGAAGAAGTAAATGGGGAGTGTGAGTTGGGGCCTACAGGTCTGGTGTCAATCCGGAGGTTTTTCTATGATGCTTACTCAAAATGTGTTAATGGAAGTATCTTTGATGGGTTGAAAATGGATATGGTGAGCTTTGCAATGGATCTCCTGGATTCGAGTTCCCCCGATGAGCAGCTCATTGGAACAAGAATTCTCCGCCAATTTGCAGTCAGTGAGCGGTTCTCGGATGATACGTTGCAGAAGATTGGGATAAACCTGTCTGTGGTGGAAAGACTAGTGGAGATGTTGAACTGGAAAGATCCAGAGGAGGAAGAGATTAGGAAATCAGCTGCGGAGATACTGTCAAAGCTTGCTGGAAAGAAGCAGAATGCTCTACGTGTTGCTGGAATTCCTGGTGCCATGGAGTCCATTTCATCACTGCTCCAAACCAACAGAAGCTCAGGTGCTGCAGCTGATGAAATTGGGGAGAAGAAACCAATCTTTGATCATGCAGGTTATGGGTACTGGACGTTCAATCATTTAGGCCTTCTCATTTTGAAGAAACTTGCTCGGGATCATGATAACTGTGGGAAGATTGGAAACACCAGAGCCCTCCTGCCCAAAATCATAGATTTCACACACGCTGGAGAAAGGCTGCTAAGAGATGAAACTGTGACACCATCTCAGATCCTGACGGTGAAAAGATCTCTGCAGCTGTTGAAGATGCTGGCAAGCACGACCGGATCAACAGGGAAACTTCTCCGGAAAGAGATATCAGAGATAGTTTTCACAATCAGCAACATCAGAGATATTCTACGGTATGGAGAAAAACACCCAATGGTGCAGAAACTAAGCATAGACATACTGACCAATCTGGCTTTAGAAGAGGAAGCAAGGGAGACAATTGGGGGCACTGGTGGAGTTCTGAAGGAATTGTTCAACATCTTCCTCAACCAGTGGATTCCAGAATATCAGAATCATGTGAGGACTGCTGCAGGAGAAGCATTAGCAATGCTGGCCTTAGAAAGTAGAAGCAATTGCTACAGAATCCTGAAGTTAAAAGTACTGGAAAGGCTCATTGGAGCACTGGAATCTCCATTACTTCGCATCAATGCTGCAAGAATCCTGAGAAACCTGTGCTCCTACAGCGAAGAAGAATGCTTCAACCAGCTAAAGGTGGTCACAGCTGCAGCACCAACGGTAATTACTAAGTCATGCCCTAAGGTATCTGGCAATTTTATTTTATGCAGAGGAGAAATCCATCTGATTGATATTCTTTCACCATTGTTGCAGGTACTGAGAGCAATAATGTCTGAAGAGAACAAACTACGGGAAGTAATGGTGGGACTAGCAGCGCAAGTGTTCAAATTCTTGACTTCTGAAGAATCAAGCATAATGTTTGATAAAGCTGGGATTACAGAGGAAGAATTGGCTAACAAATTAGTCCAAATTCTGAGGAAGCACAGCAATCCATCAGCTAAAGTTCCGAGAATGAGAAGATTTGCCATAGAGTTGGCAATCTGGATGATGTACACTGATGCAAGAAACATACTTGTCTTTGAGGGTCTGGGGATGGAGAAGGAGCTGGAGGGTGTTCTAGAGACCACATCAGAGCTTGAAAGCTTCCGGATTTTCTCTGGCACAGTGGGGCTCAGCCGGCACAGCATACCAATTCACTCCCTGGTTGAAACTGCACTGAAGCTACTGAAGGAAAGGTGAAAGAAACTCAAAATATGCACTTCATATTTCCAAATACCACTACAAATGTATTAATATTTGATCTTGTAAATAAGCATTCATAAGAGTAACAGCATATCTTTTTTCTCCAGGCAATAATTATGTCAATGTAATTGACTTGACATTCTAATAATGAATCAAATTATTGAATTTTCATTTTCAGTCAAGATTCTTTGTCCTTTTTGTTTCAACACCATCATCATTTTCAAAGACTTTAGGTTGCCAACAGGGGCAAATGGTTTCATTATTGGTAGTTAATAATTCCTTTCTCAAAAAATCAGTTCAACAATTTGTTCTAGAAAAATAAATTATATTCCATTAAAAAAAAAAAAATCATCTTCATAAACCAAACAGTAAGAAGCATATCCTACTCCAAGGCTGTCAAACCCCAGCTTGTGCTATGCTTAAACAGAGTTTCTTAAATTAATTATCCAAACGAAGAACATAATTTTTTAGAACTCATAAAAGGACATAAACCACCATCATCAGAATCAATCGGATCAAGGTGAAGCCATGTTTGGTGAGAAATTCATACCTTAGTAGAGTAGAAGGAGATTCAAGAGCATGATTTACAGAGGCAAGAGAAATGGAGAGAAGACACCCTGAACTCTAGTTTCTGTTAACAGAAACAGACATTTAAGACTAAAAATGTGACAAAAGAAATGAAAGTGAATGAATCAGGAAAATATAGTAAAAGAGATTTTGTAAGTGACAAATGACAACTTGACAATAAACTAAGTAAAATGCTACTTGTTATTTTTGTGATACTTTTAAGTAAATCTTACATCGAACAAAACACTAGAGAGAGATTAATTATAAAAATTAACATTGATTAATTTTTATTTATACACCTTAAAGCCGTAAGATCCAATAGATATGATATTAGAGCTATTCTGTGTGACCCTTTAAAAACCTTGACTCCGAAGAGTGGGCTATTCATCTGTCCCAAGCACAATCAATCTGACATCAATAACTTGACTACCCCTTCCCTGGAATTGTTAAGATTGTTTACCCTACAACGATAATTGGAATTTTTCAGGACAATAATGAAATCATTTGCAAATAAATGAAAAACAGTGCCAATACAATCATTTTTCTTAACACATTCACAGCACCAATTTTTTTTTTTTTTCATTTTTGTTTTCTTTCTTTTCTCTATTTTTCTAAGCATTTCACGACACTACAATTTCTAAGGCTTAGTTACAGAATGATACATAACAAGAATGATTCACACTAGAGGTCCTTTTAACTTCATCTACCATTTCGAAAAAAGTTTAGATCCCAACGACGCATCAAACCATCCATAATGTTGTTTGTCGGATTCCGTTCAACAGTCAAAGTTGCTTTTGTGTTGGCTGACAAGTCAGAATCAGATGAACTCTGGATGCTAGCTAAGGTATCACTTCGAGCAGAGCTGCTTGTGCTCCCCGATTCAGTGGTGGATTGATCAGATGCAGGTCCGTCACTTAACACACTTGAATCATGAGTTATGTGCTCAGGGGTCATTTTGGGGCTGTTAATTATTGGTGTAGATGCTGTCTCTGGCGCCTGAAGCTCTACAGCAGTGGAAGTGGATTCTGAGTTTGAGGGACTCTGCTGTTCTGTTGTGCTGGAAGAACCATTCATGCTATTTACATAATCTTTCTGTAAAGACTCAGAAGAAGAGGTAGCAACGTCCTGTTCTTCTGTTTGCAGACGTTGCATATCCAAGTCCTTTAACGATTCCAACACTGCTTGCATGAACATCTGAAATATATTGAAGAAATTTTGATGAGTTGATCAGATGTGCAAGAGCACATGGGTCATAGATTAAGTAGGAAAATAGTAACCCACCCGTTCTTCGTCCTCTGCACTGCACGGAAAGCCTGTCAAGTCATCCAGTTGATATTCCACAAATTGATCATCATCCATTGTTGTTGGAACATGTGGACCATAAGGATTGCCATTTGACAATTCAAAGCTTATCATTTTTGACGATGATGAGCCATGATCATCACTGTCATCTTTATCCTGCAGCAAACATCAATCAAGTTGTAAGTTTAGTTATTTCTTTCATTTTTTTTTTCTTTTCTTTCCTTTTTTTAGTATTCTCTCTTCTTTGTGCTAATATTCTCCTCTTAGTTACTGTTAGCCCTTTCCTTAGTCCAACTTGAATCTTTCTCCTAGAGTTCCTGTTTTTATGGTCAAGACTGCAAAGAAGAATGGCTGTCAGAGCAGCGATATCACCAGAATACCTTTAATGAATTAACAAATGGAAGATTCATTAAGGGTACTCTGATGATTCCACAGCCAGAACTGTAACTTTATTGTGCAGTACAGACCCAAAACTTTTTGCGTTCTTTTATTCCACTTCATCTTTTCGTTTGTTTAATGTTTACTAGGTTATTTGGTATCTTCTCAGGAAGAGAGTAAAATTGATTAACCAGAAGATCAGGAAAGGCATCTTGATCCTATTGATGAGAGGGCAGAAAGACTAAGTTCTAATACAAACACACTGCCCTTGGAAGTCTGGTGTGTAGGTGTGCTATATCACAAAATTAGTAAACTCATGAAAGTCACATCCCATGCTAATGTAACATCAGCAATGTGCTGGCAGAAAACAACAATAAATTAATAATTAGCTCAGTTATTAGTGCATCCAATGTAGCGATGCCCCCAGAGGTTCTGTATTACATACACAAAGTGCTGACATGCAATAAGCCCTTTTTTTTTTTATAAAATATTATAACGAGCCACCTGGTCAATTTGTAAATCTTGTCAATAAACATTTTTGCATCCATGTTAACACATTAGTCCAGCTGAAATGAGGGAAAACTAAATATAGAGAATCTTGGAATTCCATAAACAGACAAAGCAGGAAAATTACAACATACCTTGGATTCAGATTGATTATCTTTAGCTGGGATGTCAGAAGGGACCTGAGTGCAGTCAAACATATGTAACATTAGGACACCCATCAAAAGACTATAATCAAACTCAAGTAAATGTTGAAATTGCCTCAAAGATGCCATTTCTTTTCAAAGGAAGCCATTCTAGAAATGCCAAGCAATGGAAAACTAAATGGCATTCAAATTTGCTCATCTTGTTCTTGTTCTCATGATTCATATGTGCATGTCTATGATTCATAGGCAGAGGACAAGATCACATAAGTTCTGCCGTGCAATCATGCATTTAAATGATTTCAATTGGAATCTTTATAAGACTAACATATGACTATGATATACCCCTACTTTAAAGAATGTTCAAATAAGTGTCAAGCTTTCAATCTTCCGTATCATATGCCTTTGTGTTGTGACAAACTGAAAAGAAATAACTTAACTCACCTCCATACGACTCATAGGCCTTTTAGGATGAATTTCTTTAATGGCACCCACTGTGCTGCTTGCTTCTGGCTCTAACAAAAAATCAATCCATTAGACAACAAATAAAGGGAACTGCCACCAGGATATAGCAGAACTTTGAGATAAGGAAATTCATGCCTTTAGATGTAGTTGAGGATGGAAGAAAACCAATGTTAGGCATAGTCCAAGCACCCTGAAGTTAAAACACTTCAGTACTGGTAAAAGGGTAGATATGTAATCTAGTACATTCAAATTCAAAAGAACTAAAAGATGCAATAGATATCAATTTACCTTACCAAAGTAGTCCTGCATAGGGTCAAAGAAAGTTGCTCCCACCTCATCCTCGGGAGGTTGCAGAATATTGTGGAAGAAGATATTTATGGAATCAAAGTAAAACTGAGGGCGGGGAGAATTGTGATCTCCCTCAAATTTGATTATATTCTTGTCTCCCTGCATAATTCATTCATCACAATGCAAGTCTTACACTGAAACGCAAGATTCTCAAGGAAACAGAAGGAAATAAACCAAAAAACAATGCCATGCAAAAAGAACATACAATTATTAATTCTATTTTATTTTACTTATAATTTATGGCTATGCAAGTTCATGAGGTGTAACCGGGCAAAGAAACAAATACATAAGGTATAAAGGTTACTTTCAAGTTTTTACCAAAAGAAAAAAAGAGAGAGAGGTTATTTTCAAGTACCAACTAATCATGTTCCTAATAAATGATTAATGAAAGGTCTGTTTAGCATCAAAAGCGATACACATAGAGAAACTAAAGCTAGGGTTCCAAGATCATTTGGCTTTGATATTATATCAATCCCCCAACTGTAAACACCTAACCCTTTGTGGTTAGTACTCCATATTTTCCTAATGCACGGTTCTGTACTAAACAACTTATCATGAAACTTTATCATTTACAATGAAGAACTTACCACATAAGCTTCAAATATTTGATCTGAGTGATGAGGATGTATGAAATCATCTTCAATAGCATGCCCAAATAAAACTGGAACGAAGCACGATTTTGCCAACTGTAATACAAATGACAATAATAAAAATGTCACACATTCATAAATAACCATAAACATTATGATAGGATTGTATACATTACTGAAATCAATTAGGTTAAATTCATTTGGATATAAATCACCACTCAAGTAAGACACACATTCCACATATACACTAAAAAGATAAAAAATAAATAAATAAACAAGCAATTAAAGGAAACAACTTTGCTTCCCAATAGGAAAAAAAAATACCATCAACCAAATAGTTTGCCATAAAAGGAAGCAGAATAGAATACAAAAAAATGTAAGGAAAAAGAAAATTGCCAGAATAGAACCTTAAGGGCATTCAGGTCCATTATGTCAAACTTTGCCTTTTTCTGGATGGCTTTTCTCATGTATTGAATAGCAAACTTAACCTAGAAAACAAAATGAAGAAGTTAAAAAGTCAATAGGATGAAAATAATGGTCATAACATAAAAAATCTTAATATAATATCTGAATACTTCAATTGCCTATGTAAGAATCAATGATCAAAAGAGCATCAAAATCGGATGCCTTAAATGAATACTGATGACTCCTCTTGAAGTACGTAGCATATAAACTACCCTCCACAAGCACCAAACATATGTAGTTCTTACTCTCAAAAAGAAACCTAAAGGAAGGGTTTGTGCTACCAAAACTAAAAATTCTCACCATTAAAAGAACATGGCATTATGGCAATACATCTTTTCCTAAAAAAACAGAGCAAAAGATCCACTCATCCACAGCCTAATACATTTGGATGGTTATATAATAATAGTTTCTGTGTTGCCAAATTTAAGTCATCAATATTGACTGCCCCCCCTTTCATTCCTAGTGTTATCATTAAATAGAAAGCAAAAGGGTTGGCAACAAAACATGAAGTTACTAAAACAGGCTACAATGGTGCAACTTACAGTGAACTTGGGTAGAGGGAATTTATAGGTATCCACTAGTTCCATCATCAGGTCAACCAAATTTGAGAAGGGGCTGTCAAGAACCATTCCTGCGATTGAAGGATCCTCAGCTCCATACATCAGGCTGTCAGAAGTGCATAAATAATTAATGTCACATAACAAGCAGAATGGTCATAGGTGTAGAGCGGCCATCGAAATAAACACAACAGAAAATTATGCTCTCAAAGTTATGAATGCTTCAAGGCATGGTAATAAGAAGTATAATCATATCTTTCTTGAAACATAGATATTCCTTAAAAATTTGTGAAGGTTAACCAGAAAAAGAAAAAAGAATGCAAGTATTTTTTCCAGAAAGGAAAAGAAAACATGCCTATAACAAATTAGCAGGTGCAATTTTAACTCTTCACACCTTAAACACATTAATTAAAAGGACCTTAAGAAACAATGAATTACTTACTGAGTAGAATGTAACTTTCTCCATCCCTTTACCCACCCCACCCACCTGCCATGTGACTCAAACGCAGGACCACTAACTTCCAAGGGAAGAAGATACCACTGGCCCACTAAGCCACTGGCCATGCTAAAATATTTGAGAGAATATTTGAAAATAGTCTTTACACTTAAGAGAATACTTTTATAGAATCAACATATGCATGTGCCATTCCCATTAAATAAAAGAATTTGACATTGGAATTTGGAAAAGAGAAAAAAATCAGAAAAAGCTGAAGCAGACAAATGCACTGATTGGTCTATACTAGCTTATCACGAAAACTGCTAAAGGACAGCACGAGAAGAGGGTTAAAGGGAAAATATGAGAATTAAAACCATTAGGAATAATACAGCATAGCTGCCTCTCAAGCTTAAAAACAATTTGGGAACCTCCAAAATTAGATCAGTTGACATACTGGATCCAGTTTTAATCCTTTTTAAGTTAGTCATCTTTCAGCCAAAGTATCAACCATCAATATAGAACCTATATAGCCAAACCAGCTCAAACCTGAATTCTACAATATGTCAAAACCAGTTTCAGACTTCAGAACCCAATCAAACCAGGAGAAGCTATTTGACTATGGCCACTTAGATAATTATTATTAACAAATAGCTATCCATCATTCTCTCCTGGTAACTCTACAGCTTTACATACCCACACAATGTCCGGAAATTCAAAATTACTCAAACACAAGCCTCAGGGAAAAATTAGAAATGCGTTAAAAAGACCTGGTGACAGCACCCATTGACCGCCCCCACAAGCCAATCAAAGATACATGTCCGGTTGACCGTAAATAATCAACCACAGCCTTCAGATCATCCTTCTGAAAAACATTGAAAATCATGTCAGGAGGAAATTTCATATGAGCAGTTAACACCAGCAGCCATTTGTGATGCAATATACAAATAACTCTAGCATAGACCAGAAAGGCTGATGGTGAATAAGATGAGGGATATTAATAATAAAATGCACTTACCAATCTGAAAAAGTGTAAGACTAATCTTCACAATGATTACTCAGACAACACATTGTCCTACTCTCATTATTACATGCATTTGGTAAGAAAAGTTGAGAATAAAACCATTTGATACCAAGTAGATCTAACATAAAATTGTAAGCTGATACTTAGGCTTAGGCTGCAGCCGAACTGTCTTTGATAATTTCAGTAGCTGGTGCCCTTTTAACTATGCTAGCAATATCATGCACTGAGCTGCAAACTTAGTAAAAATATTTTCATTTTTATTTGAGACTTCCATTTATCACAACTTTAAATAAATTCAAAAAAATCATTCATTTGTGGAAGGGTTGATAAGAGGGAGAGAGCAGTTGCTTCTGTTATCATCTATTTGAACATCATATAAGCCATGAACAATCCAAGTAAACCATGTCCACACCAGAGAACATAGATAAATTGCAGTAAGGCACAGACTACAAGATTTACAAATAGTAACAAATTGTTTTCATTGAGTTGATAAAAATGTCTATGTTCCCAGGGAAATGTATGTTCTAAAGTAGTGGGAAAACCAAGGAAAAGAATAGAAGAGAACAGAAATTTACGTGAATTAGTTAGTGAACAACTTACTTCATTCCAACCCAAAGTAACATGCTCTCCTCCAGATAAGCCAGATCCTGAAAAATCAAGGGCGAAAACAGTAATATTTGATGGCAGCAATATTATAGCAGCTTCACTAGCATCAGCTCTGCACCCACTACAAAAATAAAGATATGTAGCTATCAGCAATTTTGTAAAAAAAGTGATTAAAATTTCTATTAAAATTATGGACTAAATTTAACTTGGTCGTCCACCAATAAGAGAAATAAAAATTTACAGTCCCACTAATGAGAGACCTTAGAGTTTCTTTCCCTTCACATTACAAGCTTAGCATAGAATGACCTGAAATTTACAAAAGATCTTCACTGAATGTTAATGCAATTTCCAAAGAAATCATCTTAAGTTTCTTAATCACCTGTTCCCATGGCAGTAAATTACACAGGGCAGAGCTTGTCCTTCAGGACTAACAATAGGCATATAATGACTACATTGTAGAGCATCTCCTCTACTGTTTTTAATCTGTAGAACAGCCAAAAAGCTTATGTGTAAGGCAATACAACTAATTAAAATTACAATTTCAGGCAGCATAAAAAATGTATCCTCCTAGCTTTCATAATTCTTTCCAAAGGAGGAAACCAGTTGTGTCTTGGTTTAGAACAGTGTGGTTTGATGGAAATGTTCCTGGCCATTCTTTTCTAGTTAGGTTGGCCAATCTAAAGAGGATGAAGACTACGGATCTTATGCTGCAAAAAATGTATTCAGGTGAAGTTTGAAGTTTCAAAACATTGGTGTACTAAAATAATTAGAAAATTATCCTTATGTCAATAATTTTTCCCCAAGACCCAAAACCTTACCTCTGTATCCTTTCTCTGGTACCATTTCCCTCTCAGCATGAACTCTGGCTCCAATAAATCATGCTCAGGGTTGTATTCAGCTCTGCAACAAAAAACAATAAAGATTTATAGATTCATTACCACTTTCATCTAAGAAATGCGTCTTTTAAATTTTAAGAGAAAATTGAGCCAATAACACCAAAATGAGTTACGTTTCAAATCATTAAGAGTCCAAATATCCTTTGGATGGCCCATTTAAACTCAAAGTCACAACAGCTGCATATCCATTATCTACAAGTATTAAAAGTTAGAACGTTAAACATATGCTCCTAATTCTCAGAAGCATAAAGCCTAAGTTTCTCAGTGCTATCTCCGAAGGGGTCTTCATGCAAGGAGCCTTGGCTTCTTTCAAAAACTTGGATCATTCTCGTGTCACAAATTATTTTATAACAGCTTACGCTATCATGTTACCTAACTAGAAAGTTGTTAGTTTTGAATTTGTAGGAGTAAACAGTAAATTAGTGAAACTTCAAATTCAGTAGCCACCCTAAAGATTTATCATTCCAGAAACCAGATTAACAATGAAATAAAGGTCTGTGCAAAAATGACTCAAAGATTTATCAAATCAAGTAGACAACCTAGCAATTTAGGCTAGTGCATCAAGCCATCAAAATAAATCAGAGACTATTTCAAAATTTTAACACTTCACATAAACTACCAGCTAGCTAACTGGTTCAATCCCAGAAATATCAATCAAAGCAAAATTAAGAAATCCACTCTGCTTGTTGAAATTAAAAAATCAGAATAAACACACCAATAAAAACTTCAAATCTAACACCCCAATAAGTTGAATTAGTTTCTTCTGACAAAAGGGTTCAATTCCTGGGTCCCCATATATCAAAAACACTTTCCTCTTCCCAACTTTCCTATTCAACCAAACAGAAAACACCCAAAAAAAAAAAAACACCCATGAACAAATTCAAGGAAATGAACAGAACCCACATCGTGGATTCAAGAATTGGAAGCAACGAAATCATGATTACCTGGGTGGACGTATTATAAAGTTGATGAGTTGATCCATGATTCAAAAGAATCCCTTCCTCCCTTCCTATTCCTTCTTCAAATACTAACGAAAAACAATTATTTACTTCTCAACAGGACAAAGTGACAAAGAAGCTTACACATGGAGTAAAGAAGAAGGAGAAATTTTCAGAGGAAGAAGAAATCGGACAGAATTTCTCTGTTTTTTTTTTTTTTCTTTTCTTCTGTCTTTGAAATGTTCAGGTTTCTTGCTTCTTTCCTTCTGCTCAGAATGAAAATACAAATTTCATTTCAGTTTTGTATTTTAGTTGCCAACATGTCTCTATCCGTCTGATGCACCTGCCTGATTCTCACACGTATTGGTTTTCGAACAATGGGCTTTCTTGTTCATTACTTCTAATAATGGGATTTTGGGCCCAAAACCTATTTGTGTTCTTTAATGCACCCATTAAAACTATTTATTGGCATTTAAGTCCTATTGGCTTAACCTATCCAACACATTAAAAAGTATTTCATATATTGAAGTGCATTAAACTATATTATATAAATTATTAAATAATAAAAACTCCATTTAAATTTATATAAGTGTGCGATTTTACGATCTAAATTGTAAAATTTATATCTTTAAATGAGTAAAACTTTTTTTTATAATTAATATATTCGTTGTATTTTATAGTTCAAAAATTATAATTAATACATTTTAAACTGCAAAACACTCTTGCAAAAAAGAAAAACAGCAATGTGCAGTAGGTCTTGTAATGGATTTAAGGGAGTTGAAACATCAAAATAGCCATGAAATAGAAAGAACAACAGCAATACCCACACCATTTGAGTTTCAAGTCTAAAAAGAAAGAAAAAAAAAAGGGGGGGGGGGGGGGGGGTTCAACCATAGTGCTTGAATTGAAAGGGTTTCCTGTTATTGTGTCAAAGGATAGAAAGTAAAACGTCATGATGATGACTTCATAGCTTTCTAGGGAGTTCATCATGATGTGAAGTAACATCTACCATTCCACAATTGAGACCCACTACCACCACATTGAGTTCAGGTCCTTCATGTTGTGCCTAAGATTAAGATTACAGGGATAGCTTTACACAGTCAACAGATGAAGAGCATGTTGGATTATATTAAGCATCAACGGTTCAAAACAAATGTGCTTTAAGATTCCTCGTTATCCAGTGGTCCCAAACCAAAAGTGAAGAAACTAAATGCAAAAGATGTTACCATCAGCCAACTACTAACCACCAAACATGGATGGAAGAAAAAGCCTCAATGTCAAACTCAAATTTGATACATCAATGCACGCCACACAATTTTAATCAACAAGACAAACATTATACCAAAATATGCATCATTGACCGATATATGTAACAATAGAATCAGATCTTCTTTCAAGAAAATATTAGATTATATACATGGATATGATGGGGGAAAAGAAAAAGAATATGGGATACTACTCCTTTATTAATTCACCTCTAAACCCAGAGGCATGCATATAGAGGTAAAATTAAATAACATAGTAATACATAAGTCTTAAATTAATAAATTTTTATTAGACTATGAAAATTTCTCTTTGACTTAATTATAATTTTTAGAAAAATGTATTGAACATTATAAAGATAGTAATACAAACTAGTCTATAATTTAATCTATTTAATATCATATTAAAGGTCTGTTTGACCTAACTATATAACTTTTGTAAAAATTTTATTTGTGTTGAGTTGCTAAAACACTAAATCATGCATTCATATAAACAATCATACAAAATCTTAAAGATTGAAATTATTAATTTCACAAATTCAACTGCAAAACTCTATTCCAAAAGACAAGTTTGCAATTAACTAAAAACAAATTTTCAAAAATGGTTTTTTAGCTCATGTTATAACATACAAATTAAAAATGCAATTAACATACTATTTAGTAGTTATTAAATACATAAAAAAATAAAGGTTAAATGCTAAATTTGGTCCCTTAACTTTAAGAAATGCACATTTTTGATCCCTCAACAATTTTTTGCACTTTTTTAATCCCTCAACTATACGAAATGCACTCCGTTAGTCCTTCTGTCAATTTGGGCCGTTAAG